TAAATGGAGAAATAAGAAATATATAGTATTTCTTTTATCTAGTCTTTTCAAAAGAAAAAAGAAAGAAAAAATCTCTCCCTGCACTCAAAACATCCAAAACTTGTCTCAAAATTTGACTCAAAAAAAGCTATGGAGGTGGTTTCTTGCCCAATAACGACAAGTTCCAAGCAAGGTACGAAACACCCTTTTAGTGAGTCTAGGTTGTTATCAGCTGCTACAAGATCTGCCTAAGATCTTGCGAAAGGTGTGGCCCACTGGAGACGATGTATTAATAGAGCAGAAAATACGTGGGATGAGTGTGACTTGAGTTGAGAAAATATCATATCTAAAAAAAAAGTTTAGAACCAACTCACTATCTTCTAAAAAATGGGGCCTCCAAATCAACACATCAAATGCTAATGCGAAGGAGACAAAATGAATGTTAAAAAATTAAGGGACTATAACTAGTGATTGATGAAATTATATTTTCAATATTCAAGAGTTTTTAATTCTTATTGTAATTTCTACTCGAAGAAGTGAAAGACTTGGGTGCTTTAGGTATAACAGGAAAACATCACCGCCCTCGCTAGGCCAAAGAAGCCACCGTTGGAATCGCCTAGCAACCTGCTCTCCCAGCTGTTCGGCCACCTTGGCTAGCCATCTCTACTGGCTGGCCGACCACCTTGGTCGGCCACCTCCACTCAGGTTGGCCTCCTTAGGTCGACCACCTCCATTCGGGTAGGCCTCCTTGAGCCGACAGCCTACAACCAGCTGACCGATCACCTTGGCCGACCGGCTCCACTAGTTGGCCGGCTACCTCATCCGACCAATCAACTAGCTTGGGCTGGCTGGCTGCATTTGGCGAACCCTGCCGACTGAAAAACTCCAGAACGATGGATCTAGGTTTGGAAAATACCAAAATATCATATACTGTCTTCCTTAAAGCAATGACACTTATGTAATATTACTTTTCCCTCCTTTTCTCTTCTATAAATAAAGAAACATGTAACATGTAATAGGACCCCAGATTTCCCTCCTCAGGCTCTCATCTCTCTCAACCTTATATGTAAGGTAATCTCTCTCCCCTTCCCCTCTCTTATAGAATAAAATGGGCAAAAGAGCCCAGGAACACTCATATCCCTGCCCCCCTCACAAGACAAATCTCTCTCTCCCCCTTTCTCTCCCTTGGTCTCCAAGCTCTATCCCGCGAGCATTAACATGACAAATTTGGTTTCAATATTACACAAATTTCTTACAACTATAAATTCAATACATGTTAACTGCTCGAAAATCCAACAATCTTAACAAATAGCAACAAATATTTGAATTTCAACCTTACATATTCAGGCTATCTGATCGACAACTAAATATACTGCTCATAGTCATCCAACTAATTTATTTTAATTAGAGGTATCTTAATTATTTTTATCCTCTTCTACCATACTTGATTAAACTTTATATAAATCAAAATTACACCATATTTAACCTCACAAATAAATTAAATATAAAATATCAAAAAATGACACAAGTACCAATTCATGTGAGGGTCGAAAAAATAAAAAAAAATACAAACATGTGGACAGTTCAACGTTATGTCACGTCCATGGCACCAAAGTAAAAACAGACTGTCACACTCTTTATTGAAAAAAAATACTATTTATCTTCACATTATTTATTAACAGCACAAAGCATCGTTTAATTTTAATTTGCAAAATGGACAACTTGCTGTTCAGTAAATCATAAATATGAATCTGTGATGTACAGCAATTTTAAACTCTTGTTTTAAAGATGTGGAAGACCATCTTCATTGATTGAATATGTGCACTACTTGGGGGTCAAGGTATTTATGCATCAAAGGGTTAATTTTAGAATATTTATTTTAAAAAGTCAAGGACATATATATTTTTATTTGATAAACATTAACAACAACACATAAAAAAATGTGTCATTGCAGATCTTGGAGGAATCCTGACGGTATAGAATGGAAGAATATGATTAAAATTAACCCACTAACAAGAAGTCGTGAGACCTACTTGATCGACCAAATGAAGGCATACGAATCAAACTGACAAGACCAAAAGCCGACCATACCACGACATGAACCAAAGATGGTCGGATAATACAAACACGGGGCAATCAGCAAGAAACGAGACAAAATGACATCTCAAGCTATCACCATAGAAAACAAATCCGACTTGATGGCCTACCATCTAGTAGAGTCATTCCAAAGGAAGATTCCGGTCTACAATATCTCCAATCATCCCAGTGACTCACAATACATAAGGCTTCTTGCTAGTTATTAAGGACTGACAGACAGACTGGATCAGACAGTCGGCTCACACCGACCAAGCTAACTCTGCCTGCTCGAAGTCAAATAAGCTTAGCCCGTCGAGCCAGAAAGCAGCCAGACGATAAACCTGTACAACAGACCACTTTAAAGTATGAGCAAAAATGTAATATCATATTAATTGTACACTCTCTTCTATATATAGTGGATCATTTTATGAATAACACACCATGGATTATTATTCGATAGTGTTCTCTTACACAGACACTATCTCTTTCTTTATTTACACTATTCCTTAAGTGCGATTCACGGATAAATCAAGATTCAACAAAAATATATTTGGATCACTCAATTTTAGAATTTATTTATCATTACTTATTTAGCATTCTTTGCACTTTTTGAGAGGTTAACACTTGATTGATCTACTAACCCATTAAGCATCTGTAACAAATCAAAAGTATGTCCCACCTACAATCAAATTTTATAGTGAAAATCAAATTGAGGTGCCAAGCTTTCCTAAGACAAAATATTGTAACTCTAATTGTCACAATTTGATCAACTCAATCTTTATTAGTACTTCACACTCACACATATAATCTCAAAATAAAATTGATCTAAGCTCACCTTACATAGAGAATAAGGGTGTGAGTTGTTTTTGGTTCTTTTTTAAAACTGGAGTCACCAGCTTCTTTATATATATGTCATCGTCGAATGATTTTCATTTCCAGATAAAATTTCCTCTTGGAACATACAAATGATCTGATGAGGAGAGAAATTGAAAAAGATGAGATATACAACGAAAACAAATAATTTTTTTTTTTTAAAAAAGAAGCATAGAGGGCTTATGTACGGTAATTCTCGTGTGATAGGTCGAGAGCATATGTCCGAACAAAAGCTGATCGAAATACCTCAAAACATGGTATTCACAAAAAAAATCCCTGCACAAGCTATCCTAACCAGAGAAAAAAAAAAACTTTTTTTGATCCCCAAATGAACATATCTCTTTGGTTAACTACATATTGAGAGATACACAAGATTAGTCTATATTTAAACTTCTAATATAAATGATAACCTTAAGAGAGTTCACATGATTTAAATCTTTTTATTTGAATGTCCCATGATACTATTCTTTTGATTTATATTTAAAATCAAAATTAAATAACTTTATTTTTTATCATAACTCACCATCCAAGTCAATCTCATTATGTATATATCAAACTCGAGTGCTAAAAATCTAATGGACGCATAGAAACACATCCGATTCAATGATAACTATATTAATACTCTAGATTTGGTTCAATCTAATCCTACATTTCTAGTTCTTAATTTGAGAACATGAGGTTATTTCATTCATTTATTAATTTGTTTTTGAGTAGTATATATCTTTAATATGGTCACTCATGACCACTACTTTGTCTCACATAATGATCTAATACAATAAATTCTTAGGTTTGTAATTGAGTTAACTGCTCATTCCATTCCATATATTCTTACATTAAAATCTAAATTGCACCACCAACATTGAGTGTAATATGTTCCCTTAAATCATAATATTCTTGTGCACTACCTTAGATGTAACTAATGAATCATATAAAATTAAATCTATGGAAAGCCTAGATCTCTTTGATCTAATATAAATTCACCATAATATATGATATATAAGAGAAATAATATAAAAGATCAAATATTATGCTAAACAAATTTACTTAATCGAGCTTTTTCTATCCTCCTTGAGTTGATTAGCATTTTTAAAGTTCAGCCTAAATAATGTGTCAAAGTATTTTTTTCTTAACTTAAGAAAAAAATATTCAGCAATTATCATAAAAATATCTTTTATTTTGAAGCACATATTCTAATATATTTAAGACTTAAAAAAAAAAAAATAGAGTTTCAACTCATGTCACAATTTTCTAACCCTCGAGAAGACAAGACAACATATAAGTTATAAATATATCATATTAGCTATTATATTACATTTTATATAATTTGCTTTGTTTAACTATTAAAAATATAAATGTCACTCTCACTTTTTTTTATTATTGTACGTCACATTTAAAAGATAATCATAACATTTTTATACTATAAATTAAATATTTTTATATTTTCTTGTAAAAATCTCTTTTATAAGCTCGTTGTTTAAAATATTATGGCTTTATTATGATTGAATCAGAGGGTGTTGTATATTGATTTATACTTTTGGGCATTTAAATTAAGAGAAAAATTCAAATGGAAATATCTTAATTTAGTTTGTTTTTTCTTTTATATTTAAAAAATTAACATTTTACAAAAATGAAGTTTCAATAACTACTAATAATATAATCACCCAATCATCATTGGCATCAGCATGGGCACACATACACATCAGGGGGCCTCACCATTCATGTGAGCTTATTAGGGCTTGGCAGTTGGCTACATCTTCCATCTCCTTTGTCATTTCTTTCTAATTTGAATTTTTTTGGGACCTCTCCTCTGACATGCAGGACTCTTACCTATCACTTAATACAACCTTTGCATTTCTCTCTCTATCTCTACCATCCCCAAGCATCTAATCAACACAACAGACAGATCCCAATACCAATTTTGGTTCACTCACATGCAAGGATGGTTAGAGAGACAAAGGAGAGAAATAGGTTAGAAATTTAGGACCTTTTTTTTCTCATTTTTTGGAGGGAGAGAAGAAAAATTTTAAATTTTTTTTTTGTCTTTATTTAAGCTTTCTTCTCTTCCCCTCACACAAAATGATTCCATTCTCACTCCTTCCTGTTACTTTCCACTGATAACTCTTTCACTTCACTTTTCTTTATTTCTTTCTTTAATATATGGAGCTGTAGACTGTAGACTTTCTGCCAAAACAAAAGTTATTTTACTCTTTCTCACTCCCAACAGCCCAACTTCTCCTATTTTTAGCGCTATAGATCTCTCTCCATCTTCCTTAAAAATCTGATTTTTAAGTTCTTTTGTCTCCACCCCCACCAATGGAAACTCCCTCGAATCGCCCGGAAAGGGAGAGTCCGGCTGCAGCTGCCGCAGCATCCGGCAGCGGCGTTGGCAATGCGCCGTTGACTCCGAGGTCGGCTGATCCCAACTCCTACCCCACCACCTTCGTCCAAGCAGACACCTCTTCCTTCAAGCAAGTCGTACAGATGCTCACCGGAACCGCCGAGACGGCCGCCGCAGCCGCGGCCTCTTCGCCGGGGAAGAACCTCATCCCTCCTGCTGGGAAACCCAACGGTCCCAAGAAGCCAGCTTTCAAGCTCTATGAGCGCCGGGGGAGCCTCAAGAACCTGAAAGCCATAAGCCCCCTCATCGCCGGCGGTGGATGCTGCGCCGCCGTCTTCTCGCCGAGAAAGCAAACGGAGATCTTGTCGCCGAGCATGCTGGATTTCCCCTCCCTTGTTCTAAGTCCGGTGACCCCCCTCATTCCTGATCCCTTTAACCGGTCTCCACCACCGCCGCCAGCAGGATCCGCCGCCGCCGTCACGGCGGAGGATCGCGCAATCGCCGAGAAAGGGTACTATCTCCATCCTTCACCGAGGTCTGATCTTGAGCCGCCACGGCTACTTCATCTGTTCCCGGAGTCATCTCCACGGTTCTCTTCTTCTTCTCTCTCTCAATGAAGGAGAACTGTGACCTCCTCCCCTGTTCTTCTGCTCTGCTTCCGATCTGCACTTTGCTTGCTTATTAGTTCGAATTAATTGCAGGAGTAATTTGGCTCAACTGTAAAGCTTATCATCTATTAATTGCCGGATCATGATCAGTCTTAAGGAATTTAATTATCTCCGATTAATCTGATTTAAGAAAAATTGCTGCTTGGTTTAAATTTGGGTTATCATTTGCTTCGTTAATCTGTGTTGTGTAGTGGAGTGTGAATGATTGAATTGATAGAAGAGGTGGGACCCAACAGACACTTAGTCTCTGTTAATAATCGTAAGCCCAATTAATTAATTGACTAATTATTGCTTAATAAAGTGATTAGATTATTGTATTGGAAGGTGGTTTGCTAAGATCTCGTTATCAAAATTGTGAGTTTTTGGTGTTGAAAGATGTGCAGCTTTGAAAGCACTGGTGGGGCCGGAAGGGGTTTGGCCACCAATCCCTTTTTTTTTTCTCCTTAAGCTGTTTGGTTTTTTTGTTTCATCAGTACGATGTCTTGTCTGCCGTTCAGTTTATGTTGCGCACGAATCTTAAAATTGGGTATTAAACGGTCATGGACTCATGGGAGTTGAGAGTTGGGTCTGGATATGCTGACCAAATGTTGATGGGTTTGGAGTTGAAAGAGTAATATATGATTTTGTTGTTGTTTAAATGACTTCGAAATATTTACTATTGATTTGTATGTACATTTATAAATAATCAGGGTTTTATTATGAAATACATGATAAATTAATGAAAATTAAAGCTATTTATATGTAAATTTTCAATAAAAATTAGGCATGCATTGATCTTGAGGAGATCTAACAGACGAGAAGATCAAATTATGATGCAGGAGGACCCACTGATACATGATCATGAGACCTACTTGTTCGACTGAGCAAAGTTGCCTGAGTCATGAGACAAACCAAAGACGACTCAGAGATACAAAGACGAGCCTCACAACCAGAAATAAGTTAAAAGGGTATCAAAGCCAATCGACATAGGTAAACTCACACAAGGGAAAATCCGATTCTCTAGTACCTCCAACTATCTTAGGGACACTCGGAGACTCCTCATCTAGTGCCAAGGATCAACAATCGAGCCATATCTACCCACATCGACCAAGCTCAGCCAACCAAGATGGTCTTAAGCTGACCGAACTGATCTTCCCAACCCAAAGTTGACCAAGGTTAGCCAACCAAGTTAAAAATCAACTGTACGACATACACATTTATGTAAAATATCATAAATATCCAACAAAAATGTAATATCATCTTATTGTACCCCATCTTCTATAACTAAGGGAATCATTTTATGAATTAAAAGAATGAAACCACATAGATTTTTTTCACTCCCCTTACTCCTCTCTTTTTATTTTTATTATTTACGCTATATTCATTGGGTGTGATTCACAGATAAATCAGATTTCAACATTCTAACAGGTGTGATAAGTGTTAAGCAAACTATAGACAAGAAGATGAATAACCCAAGGAAAAAAAACTCACAACAGAGATAACAACATTATGGAGTGCACTAAAAAACTTGTAACTCAATAGCTTCAGAAGTTGAAAAATCAAATGTTAAACAACATCCTAGACACATTGACCTCGGGAACAGATCAACAACACTGAGATAAGGCCCCCCCCCCCCCCCCCCCAACTTTGGAAAGAGAAGAAGTCTCCTAGTATTTTAATAGTGATGGGTCGAGACTGATCGATAGACATCATACTGGGCATATCAAGGCGCCCCAACAACTCGAGAATGCGTTCTCTTAGCAAATTTTCATGGCTGAGCCGCTAGTAGGGTTTAAGATCCTGACACTCGCAGAGTCCTACAAAAAGTTAAATGATTTGACCGATCACATAAACTCGTTAATTTGATCGTTTGTTTGACAATGATCAATGACATTCTGAAGTGCTGTATTTTCCTTTCCACGTCGAGGGAGTCAGTCCTTAAATGGTTTAAAGAATTACCATCGAGAGTAATCACGTTGCTCGGTGACTTCCAACGAATGTTTGTGACACAATTTTCCAGTGCCTATAAGCCACGAAAGAACTCACATGCTTTTTTACAACTCCTACAGGGATATAATGAGATATCACTCAATTTCAGAAAGAAATGTTAGAAGTATGGAACCTCAAGCTCAAGATTACATATGCCACCCTTGCTCAAGGGCTGAATAAATGACCACTTGCCGCAAAAAAGGGTCCCCAAGGTGAAGTGTGGAGAGTGAGATATGATTGATTATTTTCCGCTTGTCCTCGATACAAAGACACTCGATCACCTCGGACCACAGGGAAACTAACAAAACTCATCACTAAGGGAGTCAGACCAATATCTTGACTAGCGACTAGCTCAATGTGTTGAGCGGTCGCTACCAAACCACAAAGATCCTAAACAAACTCCATTGAGAGTTTCAATGAACAAGATAGTAGAGACCATACAAAATAAATACTACTTTAAGAGGGCACCACCAATGAAGATCGAAGCTTTTCTTTGAGGCCTAAGAAGTATTGTGCCTACCACTGAGACTATGAGCATGACACGAAGGAGTGCCAACACCTCTGAGGCCTGATCGAAGATCTGATTATGGCTGAGAAACTGAAGGAAATCTTGGCACCAGGAGCAACGACCCATCTATCTTTAGGGGGGATGGAGGTTCATCCCATCGAGCCAATCCGAATAGAATTTGGTCGGGAGAACTATGTGCAGCTGCCGGCACGCCCAAACAAACCTGACGTCCTCCCATAGCCTTCACTGATGAAGACTTACCCTATAATGGTAACTCTTACAACGATGTTATCGTCGTCACTGTGTTGATCTACAACTATCAAATTTTTAGCACTCCCATCAACACTGATAGCTCTGTGAACATCTTGTTCAAGTCAATATTTGATAAAATGGGCATTGACAATGAGTAACAGTTGCAGCCTAGCTACTATGGATTTTCTTGCGAGAAGAAAAGCAGCACCGGGAACCATCGCTCTCCTAGTTACCCAGATTGAAAATGATAAGCAATTAATTAAATTTGGAGATTTCATAGTGACCAACTTGCCACTCACTTACAAGGCTAATTTTGGTCGTCCTCTACTGAATTCCTTCTGAGTGGTCACCCCAACCTACCATATAGCTATCAAATTTTTAGGCGATGGAATGATAATCACTTCGCAAGTACCCTTGAGCAGTCTTGCACATGTTTTCTCTGAGCTGTTGAAAATGTCTAACAAGAGCTCCTTGAGCTCCATAACTTACGATAAGGGGTCTCAAGTCCACTGAGACTAGCCATTACATCCCAACGATCAAAGAAGACACTGAGAATTTTTTTCTAGTAAGCGAAGCTTTTAATGAAGGTCACAAAGACAAGTTAATCAATACCTCTAGAGCCACAAATACATTTTGCTAGGTTCTCCAGTGAGATGCCATATTTTCATTGTTTATATACAAAAAAAAATTCCTAATTGTGCATGTGATATCAAGTTCGACTGACACTTGAGGTACTTGAGAAGTTCATGCAATAGATCACAAAAATTGACCGACACTCAGAAGTAGTTCCACCAGAGCAATAATATAGATAACAATGTGTGATGCTCGATCGATAAAATTCTCAAAATAACTGACAGCAACGAATAAATGTCGGATCAGTAAAACACCTAAGATCTGACCCACTATGCTCACGCATCGTAAAAAACCATGCCTAATAGCTTAAAGCGAGCCAAGCTCTGATGGTAGTATTCCCAACCCATTAAATATAAGATCCATAAAAGATAATATATGAATCATCTTAACAACAAGTCTAGACAGTTACCATCATGAAGACATCGACAAGATCCACTTAATACATATGACATTATGTGTGAACTATCCATAGTGACGTCCTAATCGATTCAGTTCAAGAAGACCATCTAGGCCTTCGCCCCAACGTCGACGTAGAAGGCAACACCATCCTTGAATTTTTCGACAATAAGGGTCACATGAGTCGGAAGGAGGAGATCTTGACAAAAAATTCATCAGACATTTTCATCATTGTCATCTTATCCTTCTTGAACCAGTTCTACCTTTGAGTAGCTGATAGCAACTCTGACTGTTTGAGTACTCCCGCCTCGGCCGCCTTCACCCTCTCCTCAGCCTCCTCCAACTTTTTCTCGATCTCCAAACGTCCTTGACATTCATGGGGAAGGCTAGTTGTCTAGAGGTGAGAAGCTTCCCACGCCATTAAATGATATTTATTGGTTGTAAGTCATGAGGGGGGTAAGTCGTGTTCCGGGAGGTCCTCCTTGAAAACATGAGACCAGATGATGTCAGTCATTGTCGGGGGCTATCGAGTTGCAGCAAAAGAATCTGAGTGTCAATCTTTTTGGAGATTGATCAGTGCATACCGACCGTCCGAGTCTATGCACACCTTCCCTTCAGCGTCTTTCATCGAGAACCGCCTAAACGGGGATCCCTTGCATTTTTTCTAAGATGGTACAAGTTGTCCGAATTGATTGGGGTGCCTTCCCTTCATGGCAGTGCTCCCCTTCCCGACTAGTTGACTCGACCTCTTCTTGTATGGATCCATAAAGACGGTTAGCTTCATCTCTAGTCAGTAGGTCGATGAATGTCGAAGCTGCCCACTGAGGGGCACCAGATGCATCCGAGGAACATACAACTGACAAAAAACTCTTAGCAGACACGCAAACTTTGATTCTGCTGCAATTAAAATTTAAAAAACATTGTGGGAGTTTGGAGATTGTACTTGTTTGCATGTGAGTTAAGAGATTATTAAACAATACCTCAGATTGAACAACTATAGTTGTTTTAAATCGTGGGGAAAAAGTCATTATCTGCCTGTAAATAAAAGAATAGTGCTTCTCTGATCACGTTTTTTCAGTAAGCAAAATGGTTGTTGTCGCGGATCACGTGTCCATTTTTAATCATCTTCGATTGATTGATTTGATTTAACTTATTAAATCAGAAAACCATCAAATAATCCCCAATTATTTAAATCAGTGTCATTTTAACCTTAAAATTTATAAAAATATCAAAATAATTTCATATTGTTTTAGAATTATAGCCCATTTTTTTATGAATTTTTTTAGCACAAATTTAAAAATTTTAGAGACTACTTTGACACATCTATAAATATTAGAACTAAAATGATCTCGTATAAATAATCGGAAGATTAATTTGATATATCTATAAATGTTGTGATTAAAATGATCTGATATGAATAGTGAGAGATTATTTTGATACTTTACTTATCAAAAAATTGTTTAAGGAAAAAATATTTTTATGGTCCATTTTGAAT